CGATGAAAAACGGAGTCAAAAGCTCGAAACTTGAACGAAACCGAAGTCGCCGGAAACTTGCTGGAAAATAGTGGAAAGTAAATCTCCAAACAACATAGTGGAAAATAGTGAAAATAGTGAAATCATAGTAGCCATGTGATCCAAGGTGATTAAATCGAGCTTTCTAACTAGTGACTACGCTTAAATCCAAGTCGTGCCCTTTACTCAAGATAAGCATGAACTAATCCCTAACACATCATGACGAGCAACAAAAATCAAACTTTCCTCCATTCAACAAGCAAACCACCTTCACCTTGAAACACATCATAAGCAAAAAGGGGCAAAATCAAAGTAATGAGGATTAAATCTAATTATCCACTCTCCTAATGCATGCGTGAAGAACACCGGATGGAAAAGTTCGAATCTTGAAATAAAATGACGTCGCCGGAAACTTGCTGGAAAATTAGAGTAATAAAGCTCCTAACCAAAGCATAAAAAGAAAAATAGAGAAATAGAGAGGATTTTCCCAACTTAAAAGTTGGGAAATGAGAGTTGTTTTTTTAAAAATACAAAGCATAATGTCTACTTATAGCTACACCACAAACACACACTAAAAACACGCACATTTAATAGAACACTCTCGAGCTCTCCGCAAGATTCGCGAGCTCGCGGCGATAATTTGGATGGGTGGAGACACTCTCGAGCTCGCCATCGGAGTCGCGGGCACGCGAGTGAGGAAGGCAGCACTCTCGAGCTCGCCGTTGGAGTCGCGGGCACGCGAGTGAGGAAGGAGGCTTGGGCATGACACTCTCGAGCTCGCCGGGAGATCCGCGAGCACGCGAGCAGCTGATGCGAGGCACTCTTGAGCTCGCCATGCTTTCCGCGAGCCCGCCGCGTGTGCCGGTGATCCCTTGTCACTCAATTTGCTCTAACTTTTCACCCGGTTATCCGATTGACTTGAAACTTTGACCCACGCTTCCCAAATATTTTTCTCCTCATCTTGGAATGCTCAAATCGATATTGCCGCGTAACTAATATATATGCTTGGAAACGGCTCGCGTGGCTCGGATATGATTCAGACGGCTCGAATATGTCTCGGAAATGGCTCATCTTCCCAAGATCGAATGATGTGGACCTAAACAACACCAAAAAGATAAGAAAAGTACGCCGAACTACAAAAACACAAAACGAGAATAAAAATGCACAAAATACGATAAAATGGACCGGTCGACACTAAAACGAGCCTAAAACTAATAAAATAAAACACACAAAACACACCAAAATAACGACAAAAACACAATAAACACATCTACACTGGAAAAATGCACTGTCATTTGCTTCATTAAGCACTTTGAGTCAAGTTGGAGGGCAGAAAGTTGATAGATACAATGTTATTAAAGTGTACACGGTTGCAGAAATGAAACACAACATTTCCCACGGAAACTCTCCACCAAAACAAGTATCTCAGCCACAAATTTTCAGCCCAACAACAAGCAAAGTATTGGAGGCCATTGATGAAAAAATTGAACCAATTCAAAAAGCTGAATCTTCAGTGTCTTCAGCTAAAAGAAGCCTTTTCAAACCAGAGGATGCCATGGACATCACTTCCAAAAATGAAAAACCTTCCACAGTTTGTACAGCATGGTGATGTTGCTTCTCCAGCTTCAACTCCACAGAAAACAGAATCGCCACCTCTACTCAAAAAGCCAAGGGAAAAAAAGGATTGATAGGCTTACTTAATAAGTGCTAATATCTATATTAGAGGATCCTACTTTTGTTGTGTAAGATAAGGATACCTCAATTAACAAACTCTGATTTATCTTTTGTAGGCTTAAGGCATCTCCTTTTTTTGTTGCATGTTAGAACTACTTATGTTTTACCTTTTGTAATATTAAAATATTACTTTTGTTGTATGTATTATAAGATATCTCATTTTGTTGTATGTATTAAGATGTCTATATTGAGAACTCAATGAAATATAAGATGCCTACACAGAAATTTTGTGTCTATAGCAACAATATCAAAACATGCTACAAAATTGCTCTTCTAATTGCTATATTTTAATTTGTACCTGGTATAAGATTAAATATAAATAAATGTTATAATAATACAATTTTATTTACAAGAAATCATCATATAAGATGAATCAAATTATATACGAATACAAAATAAAATACACACTGGGCATGGCCGTGCTGTGCACGGCCAAGGCCTATCTAGTAATTACTAATAACATTCATTTAGTTAGGAACGCTGAAAAAAAAAAATGTGGATGTTCTGATACAAATTACGTAACTGCCTTACCAATTTTTACCTGTTTAAGCTAATTTAAGTAAGTGGAATGAGATAAAGACAACATATGCATGTTGTTGTGACAACAGAATTTCAAAAACTGGACACCAATAATTTTCCCTAGTCTTAAAAAAATAGTTGAAAATGCTCCATTTTTTACGCTTTTGCAATATTATCTTTTCAGCATATTAAAGAAAANAAAAAAAAAAAAAAAAAAAAAAAAAAAAAAAAAAAAAAAAAAAAAAAAAAAAAAAAAAACAGGAAAAGAAAGTCAACTTCAAGAAACCAAAAATCCTCCTTAACTAAATAACTAACTTCCATTCCAATTTTCAAGCAGAGGCCGACGTGAATGCCCAAATAACATTCCCACACGTGTGGCCATCAACCCACCACCACCGCCACGGCGGAGACAACACGCGTCCGCCGTTCTCCGCCACACACACACACACACAAAAAACACGCGCATTTCCCTCCCAATGGCCGAGGAGATGGTCTACCTCCACGGCGATCTTGACCTGAAGATCATCGAGGCCCGCAGCCTGCCCAACATGGACATCCTCACGGAGCGCCTCCGCCGCCTGTTCGCCACCTGCCACCAGCCCTGCGCCCCGACAAAGCGCCGCAAGCACCACAACAACATCATCACCAGCGACCCCTACGTCACCGTCTGCCTCTCCGGCGCCCGTGTCGCCCGCACCCGCGTCATATCCAATTCCCAGAACCCCGTTTGGAACGAGCATTTCAAAATCCCCTTAGCTCACCCTGTTACACAGGTATCCTATATCACCCTTCCTTCCTAAATACCTAAAAATTCATAATAATAATAATAATAGTAATAATATAATTAGGTGGAGTTGGAGGTGAAGGATAATGACATGTTTGGAGCCGACCTAATCGGCGTGGCGGCAATGCCAGCGAAGAAGATCGCATCCGGTGAGCTGATCGACGAGTGGGTGACGGTGGTGGGCCCGTGCGGGAAGCCTCACAAGCCCGACACGGCCATCCACCTCCAGATGACCTTCACCCCGTGCGGAGCCAATCCCAAGTACCGCAAGGGGTTCTCGGAGGATTACTCCCTGAGAGAGAGCTATTTCCCGCTGCGGCGCGGATGCAGGGTTACTCTGTACCAAGACGCGCATGTGCCGGATGGGATGCTGCCGGAGATCGAGCTGGACGGTAAAGGGAAGAGGTTCGAGCACGACAAGTGCTGGGAGGAGATATGCCATGCGATCTTGGAAGCTCACCACCTTGTGTACATCACGGGTTGGTCTATATACCACAAAGTGAGGCTTGTGAGGGAGCCGACCAGGCCCTTGCCGAGAGGGGAGAATATGAACTTAGGGGAGCTTTTGAAGTACAAATCCGAGGAAGGGGTGAGGGTGTTGCTGCTCGTGTGGGACGATAAGACCTCCCACAATAAGTTCTTCATTAACACGGAAGGAGTCATGGGGACTCATGATGAGGAAACGAAGAAATTTTTCAAGAACTCGTCCGTTACATGCGTGTTGTCCCCGCGTTACGCAAGCACCAAACTCAGCATTTTCAAGCAACAGGCATGGAAATTAGATTTTACAATAAGCAAAAATGGATATACATATATATATATATATATGCGTATGTAGGAAATTTTGACAAAAAGTATTCATCGATAATTTCAGGTAGTGGGAACCCTGTATACCCACCACCAGAAGTGTGTGATTGTGGACACACAAGGACAGGGAAACAACCGTAAAATCACGTCATTCATCGGTGGTCTCGACCTTTGCGACGGGCGCTACGACACGCCCGACCACCGGTTGTTCCAAGACCTCCACACCGTCTTCAAGGACGACTATCACAACCCCACCTTCTCTGTAAGGAATCTTAATTTCAACCAAGAAAAAAGAAAAATTGTTCTCTCATTCGAGTAAATATTAATTAATGGGTAATTAATTTAACCAAAATGTAGCTAGGAACAAACGGGCCAAGGCAGCCATGGCATGACCTGCACTGCAAGATAGAAGGGCCTGCCGCGTACGATGTGCTCACCAACTTCGAGCAGAGGTGGCGTAAGGCCAGCAAGTGGTCCAAGTTTGGGAAGCGGTTCAAGAAGATCTCGCATTGGAAGGACGATGCTTTGCTTAAGGTCGACCGTATCTCCTGGATAACCACCCCTTCAAACAACCTACCCAACGATCATCCCTCGTTGTGGGATTCCGTGAAGGATGATCCCGAGGGCTGGCACGTGCAGGTTCGAATTTGCTTGCACTCTCATGTTCTTTTTACATGATATAAATTTTTACCTTTGTTCTCCGTTTTATTTGAACAGGTGTTTCGATCGATAGATTCGGGATCGGTGAAAGGGTTTCCCAAAACCGCACATGCAGCGGAGAAGCAAGTAATTAATGCTCAAACAAATTCTATGTTATTTAACTAATTTTCCATGTCTATGATTTTGTTTAAATGTGTTTGAGGCGTGTTTTCTGCAGAACCTAATGTGTGCGAAGAATTTGGTCGTTGATAGGAGCATTCAGATGGCATACATTGAAGCAATTCGATCCGCGCAGCACTTCATATACATCGAGAATCAGTACTTCCTCGGCTCGTCTTATGCTTGGCCCTCCTATAAAAATGCGGGTAGGTTGTTTATCTATCACAGACTCACAGTTTGATCTCATTGTATCCCTTGATGTACCTATGTTTTTGCTTTTCTGTTTGTTCAACATGCATTACGATTAAAATCTTTTTCTTAGTACTTGAAACTTGCGTTTTCATAAGGATTCATGTCTCATCACATTTACTACTAAGTTTTTGTGGTTAGCCTGAAAATTGTTTAGGTTTCTATATTTTTCTCGTAGTTATTTACTCACGTTGCTCTTAATTGTTTTGCGATAGGTGCGGATAATTTGATCCCAATGGAACTAGCACTGAAAATAGCCAGTAAAATAAGAGCGAACGAGAGATTCACCGTTTATGTTGTTATTCCAATGTGGCCAGAGGGTGCTCCTAACTCTGCCTCCGTACAAGAAATCCTTTATTGGCAGGTAAGATTGCAATTAAGAGAAAATTACTTGTGATGTTTGTTTGGGAATTTAATTTATTATTTGAGTTGTCGACATGAAAAACTAGTAATGATGTGAATGACTGGAGTCGCCAGACATCATATATATGTTGCGCTCTATATGTGTTGTACATTCCAATGTAATCAACAAACTTAGCATGATCTTCGTCACGTATAGGATATCGTCTTTACTCTTGGATGATTTATCTCTTGTAGGGGCAGACCATGCAAATGATGTATGAAATTATTGCTCGAGAAATTAAGTCTGCTCGGCTTATGAATGCGCATCCGACTGACTATCTAAACTTTTACTGCCTTGGCAACCGAGAAGAGAACGCAGGGGAGTCAAAGGGAAATGCTCAATCCCCTTCGAATGGAAATACTGTAATTATTTCTCACTTCCATATCTTTTGTCACAGTATGAGATTCTTATATATTGGCATATTGCATATAGTTTGGCATCAACTTTTCTTCCATCTTTCTTATAATATAAACGCCAATGGAACTATATTAACACTGCAGGATTCAGCTTCACAAAAAGCCGGACGGTTTATGATTTACGTGCACGCAAAGGGAATGATTGTGGACGATGAGTATGTGATATTAGGTTCTGCCAACATTAACCAACGGTCAATGGCCGGGTCGAGAGACACAGAGATTGCAATGGGTGGTTATCAGCCCCATCACACTTGGGCCAAGAAGAAAGACCACCCACACGGCCAGGTTATCTTTGTTTTGTTCATCTTTTTATTTGCTTTTCTTATTAAAAATAAATAAATATTTGAAACATTATGATGCCCATGCGCAGGTATATGGATACAGGATGTCGCTTTGGGCCGAGCACTTGGGGACAGTCGAGAACTGCTTCAAAGACCCAAAGACTTTAGATTGTGTGACGTACGTGAATCGTCTCGCTCAGCAAAACTGGAACCGGTACACGGCCCCACGGTTCATCCCATTGCAAGGCCACATCCTCAAATATCCGGTTGAGATCGATGCCGATGGAAAGGTGGGTCCCTTACCAAGATACGAGAACTTCCCAGATGTCGGTGGTAAGGTCTTAGGGGCCCCTACCAATTTGCCCGATGCTCTAACAACATAACAAAAAAAAAAAAAAAGAAAAAAGGAAGGAATATTCATTTATATTTCTGCACAGATCGGCATATATGCGCTATGAATGAAAGGTTCGGCATATATGCGCTAAGAATGAAAGGTTCGTTGTAAATATTACATTACATACTGATAAAAATGTGTAAGTTGTGTAAAAGGTTTTTGAAATGGTTATAAAGTTATCACAATGTAACTTTTGGGTCCGTTTAGGTCCACACGGTACGTTTTTCGTTCGGATACAGTTTGGTTGTATAACATTCCTTCAACGACAAGAGCAAAAGGCAAACCGAAGAAGAATGAAGAAATAAAACTATTTTACTCCAATCGTTGCATCACTATCTTTTGCAGTATTTTTTCATTTGAAAAAAAAAAAAGGTTCTGTAGTTAGTAAGAGCATGAGGCTAGATAGCGATGTGATGGTGATCTGTACTAGCATGTGAGGTAAAATACGAAAGTGGCCATGATCGTAAGCTAAACGGCCAGTTCAAATATTTCATAGGAAATAAGAAATAAACAACAGTATCGTTCGATATACCATAGGATACTGAAAACGGTAATGGAGCAATCCCGAGAATAGGAAGAGGTAGGATCGTATGTCTGTTCATAAGACAAGTAGCTGATCCTACGGCTAGGTAGGATTTGAATAAGTGAATTTATATCCAACAGGTACAAGGAATTACATATAATGCCTCTAAAGAATACATATGAAACTGTAGAAAGACTCAAACACTAACATGCATACTTAGTAAGCACAATAGATGTGAGATCATCCTGTAACATATGTCAATATCACATTTGCCATTTCCCTATATTAACTCTCATTGTAAAACACGAGGCCAAAAGGATAGTCCATTGCATTAGCTACCTAAAGGAAAGAGCATGTCGTGTAACATTACTAATGACTCGGCTGTAAGAATCAATTGTTTCATCTTGATTATATTGCCAATATCGATTACATAACCACAACCAAGTCTATGCAATCATCATCGACCAACTAAATACCACAAGACTAAAGGATAATGAAAATATCAGCATACCCGTATATGTTGCGGGATATGAATCCAAGAGATCACAGAGTAGAAGCCTTGCCACATTTTCATCAACCTCAACACTATGGAGGAAACTATACAGCTGTTTTACTCCACAAAAAAACACTAGAACAAGTTAACAATTTCGCAGAAAGAGCTCCATGCTTATTTTACTCAAGTTCTTTAGCAATATTGATACCAATTACTCAACAGTAACTCAATCATATTTATTTACAAGCATGATACAGAAACCACCCCAACAATACCAATGGAATATACATCAAATATGTACGTCAACCTCACTAAAACCACTTATAACATTTGTCGCCTTCTAGAAATGCGGAAAAATATCGCCATTGTTGTCCTCGTCCAAATCGAAGTAGTTGAAATTCATGTTATCAATTGGGTTTTGGTTGAAACTTGAATTCACGTAGCACTTCATCTCGTGGAACAGATTCAGATTGTCAACCAGCTTATGAAATATATTGCAGCCGCAACACTAACACACACCCAAAAAAAAAAAAAAAAACATAAGCTAATAATGCTCTGCCTGAACTCTAAAATATTATATTCTACAAGAAGTTCACTCGATCCGACTGAAAGGAGCGTCCTTGGACTTGTTCGGCGAGAAAAACGGCAGAGATAAGGCGCCACCACCGGAAATGGAAACGGCAGAGATAATGCGCCGGCGGTGGTGGCTCGCGTTTACAGATTATCTTCAGTGGTGTTTTCCGACTTCTTCACTTACCACTGAGCAGGGAATTTTGATGAGTTATTTTCACATTTTTGGTTGATTTATTTATTTATTTATTATTATTATTATTATTTCCATCAAATGCATAAGAGCATCTCCAGTGTGTTAATGTGAACGTTAAAATGTTCACGGCACTTGTTTGTAAATAATTAGACAACTAATTCACGTTTATTGTAGGAATTCCCACTCAAAAACGTCATACAATGTACCACTTTCTATCATAAGGGATTCTGTTAAATTGATTTTTAAACGCACTATAAACTTGTTTTTAAACACTATATTGGAATTTTGTTAAACTGATTCTTAGACTTCTAATAGATTGAAAGAGTTTTTAGTAGCATCTAGACAACGAGTTAACAAGCCTATCTCCTAATATATCCTTCAAACTTGGAACTTGTTATTCCACATAAATACACTTATTAAGTTGATAAGGTTAAATCATAACTCTCATTATCGATCAGATTTGGTTTTAGAATAATTAGAGATTTCGGTCTTGATTTTAAACATAGTTAGGAACTCATATGTGTTCACGTACCCTTCAATCAGGTTTTCTCGGTTTTTTCCACTTTCCCGAACTTTTTTACCACGATTCTACGAATTTTGGGACGTTTATTGCTGTTTGATTTCAAACAGTGGGCTTTACTACTGTCAAGCCACGTCAAATAAAATTATATCACGATAGAACTCATTGGAAAGATAAATATAAAGACGATATATCTAATAGTAACATGGCAGTAATTTTTGTCATTTGACATCAACGCATTAGAGTTGCTCTAAAAATTGGTGGGAGTTGGAAAACAAACCTTATACTAGCTTTCATGTGAATAAAAGGCTAATGGGCTTATCCGCTTGCGAAAAGCCCCATCCGGTTTTTGGCAACAGAGTTGAGAGTATATACGATTCTTAATAGAGCACTTTAAATTTTATTTTATTTTATTTTACATTTACAAAAATTTTATTTTAATTATAAATATATTAACTTTTATGGTTTATAATTAGTTTATTTCCATTTATTGTTTTTAAATTGCATTATTCCTTATGCAACAAAATTTTTTCATGGTTAAATATTTTAATAATATTTTTTATTTTATCTTTATATTTATTTCTTTAATTAATCTTTTCAACCTATGTAATGAGTTAGTTAGTATCCATTTACTTAGATATATTGTATATTTCTATGATTACCAAGTGCTATAATTTAAATATGATATTTCACTATGTTATTAACTTATTTTCATTTATAAAATAGTACATAATAAAAATAATATTTTATTTAAAATTTTGAATAGTTTTTCAACGTGCATAGATATTTATAAGGTAAAATTTATAATTCTGAATTGTACCCGACCATCAAAAATTAATTTTAGTAATATGTTATTTTAGTTTTTCAATAGTATATATTATCATTACAAATGACATAGTCAATGGAGATTTATGGTTAAGTTGACAACATTTTAGAAAAATATTATTATTTTGAATTATTCATTAAGTTATTATATTCAAATATAGTTATTCTGATCATTTTAATATATATTTTAACTACTTCCGTCGATGAATATACTTATTTAAATTAATATCTACAACATAGATGATAATATAATTATCAAATCAATTTTCATAATATTTTATAAAATTTTTCATTAAATTAATTACTATAAAATCAATATTAAGATCTTATTCAAAATATATCTAAGCCATATATATACGGTAAAAAATAATTTTATTTAAGTCCAAGTACAGTTAAGAATATTAGCCATTGAGTACACAAAAAAAAAATTATTACTTGATATTTTTCATGTATATAATATTTGCTAATAAAAAAAAATTAATTAAATATCAAATACAGGAAAAATAAAATTTTCTGCCTAAAACCATATTAATTATGGCAATATAACTTGGTCCATTACATATATAAAAATTCATTAGGTAGTAGATAAGAAAAACTATGATGCTTAGGCCCTTTAATTGGCTCAATTTGTCTTGATTAATAATAACAAATTTCAACCAAAATATTGTTGATTAATTTGCAATTAAGCGTTAATTAATGATATTATTGCATGGTTTGGCTGACATCAAAGAAGTAGGTTGATTTATAGATGAGCAGAGAGAGAGTTGCATGTAATAGAAATTAATTAATATAATAGTGTCCAAAAATTCATCAGTTGGGTGATGACTGTAAAAGTTATGGGTGAGATGAGATCAATTCCTTTTACATTCAATGCAGAGAGAAATTAATATACGTAGCTGGAGAATATTATTTATGTGTTGTTATATAATATATGGGTCATTTAATTGCTGCCATTAATGACTATGGCCCCTCTTTGTTTCATTTTTTTTTTTATTTTTTAATTTTTGGTTTTTAGGGTTTGGTGGGGTGTGATTTTAAATGCACCCAACAAGCAATCTTTCTTCTTCTTCTTCTTCTTCTTATTTAAAAGTCCAACATTTCTTGATATTTTCACATTCAATTAATTTATGTTCTTCACCAAAAAAAAAAAAAAAAAAAAAAAAAAAAATGAGCAAACAAGAGAGATGTTTTACAAATTCAGGGCTTATAATAACTTCAATTTTTTTTATTTTTTTTTTTCTTTATAGAGTGTTGAGATAATCACTGTGATGTTGGCTCGGCTCATTCAGATATAACCAACTCGACAAGTTTATTTTCGTTGTATGTGCTTAATTAAGCATGTTTTGGTGATTTTAATTTGATTGAGCCGTGCCAATATCTTAGTGTTTTTTTCACTTGCGTTAATTATGAGAGTATCTTTCGCACAACACATGGGATTCTCTCATTGTTTGGAATTTGTTTGAGGCATAACTAATTAAGAATTATACTCCCTCCTTTTCAAAATAAGTGTCGTTATGACTTTTTTGATTCATCCATTTTGTTATGTATCTAGACATATATGTATCTAGACATATATGAATGTCTAGATATATAGTAAAATAGATGAATCAAAAAAGTCAAAACGACACTTATTTTAAAAAGGAGGTAGTATATGAGAAGAAGAATGTACAAAGAATTATGAATTAATCGATTTTCTATATTCTTTCATGTCTTAATTGCTAAAGTCTTGAATTTTGTGCTTGTTTAAATTGTATCGATTTTTTTTTTTTTTT